GGAGATGGCCATGTCGCAATCCCTTCTCCTCCATTCTCCTCTTGGGATCTTGGGCATGCATGCACATATGCCCGGCATGAGTTTAAGCCACCGGGTCCAGGACTTGAACTGCAGTCGACTACATGGGAGTCCAGCAACATAGCCTTTATGCTAACTGCTGGTCCCTAAAATAATTAATTCTTAAAAAGAAAAGGATTTATGGGGCTGAAGAGGTATGAGAAGGTCTTCTTGGAACCAGCAGATGGCACGATTACATCACTGGACTCCCACATAGTAGACTTCGGTTTGAGTCCTGGACCCAGCAGCTTAAAATTTATGCTGGGGGGGTGACCAGCAGATGGCATAATGATTACGTTGCTAGACACCCACGCAGCTGACTGCAACTTGAGTCCCAGACCCAGTGGCTTAAACTCACGCTGATGCATGTGTGTGCATGCATGCCCAAGATCCCAAGAGGAGAATGGAGGAGAAGGGATTGCGGCATGGCCATCCCTTCCAGGGGTTATTTCTCCCTTTCTGTCTCTGTCTCTCTCTTTCTGGTGAGCGCATGTACCCTATAGCAAAAACCTCTCTAAAAAAACAAAAACAAAAAACCTCATGCTTGGGGCTAGCAGGTGATGTGGTGGTTAAGGGAGCTGGACTCCCCACGTGGCTCCCACGGTTCAAGTCCTGGACCTGGTGGCTTGCTTTCTCACTTTCCCTCTCACTTTGTCCCTCTCCAACCAACTTAAAAATGAATAAAAGTAAATAAATACAGTTAAATAAAATAATTCTTTAAAAGAAAAGCTCACACTGCGCACTCGTGTATCTGTGCCCAAAATCCTGAGAGGAGAATGGAGGAGAAGGGATTGTAGCGTGGCCAGCTCCCCGGGGGATTGACCTCTCATTTCTGTCTTTCTTTCTCTCTGTCTCTGTCTCTCTGGTGACTGCACACACCCTATAGCAAAACACACACACACACAGAGCTCTCCCCCAAAAAAGAAGGACCTCTCCTAATTTGAATATCTAACTGCTTGGTCCTGTACTAAAAGCTCAGGTAGAAATGTTTTGCTATGTAAATAAGACCATTGTGATTAAAAAGAAAGAAAATCTCTGATTTCTTTAGAGCCCCAAAGATGGGGCCAAAGGGACCTGAGAGCAACCGGACAGGCTTCCCTAACCTGATGGGATCGGTGGTGCTGCAGTGTTCAGAGGTGAATTCGGAATATGCGAATTATCTTGTTGCTGCACTTCTCGGGGACAAAGCAAGGCCTGCAGTAATCTGCGTGACCTCCTAGGTCTGATTGGATGCGGCTAAACAACCTGACAGAGGCTCCCTGGGGGATCAGGGTGTGCTGCGGCCCAGGTGTCCTCTCTGACCCCGGCCTCTGGCCTCTGCGCCAGGCCCCTCTCCCTGGGTCCCTTCCTTCCTGGATCCCCTTCCTGAGGACCCTTTGCTGCCTCCTCTAGGTTCCCCTGACGGGGTTTCTGTTTCTCCACAGAAGGAAGAGGCCCGGCAGGAGGGACTCGCTGAGCCACCCCCGCTCTGCTCAATGTTGGCTGTGCTCTCAGGTGAGAGGGTGCCCCGAGGACCGCAGCGAGGGGAACTTAGACCCGGGGCAGCAGGCCAGCGGTGCAGCCATTTCCTGCGGGCTGGGGAGTCCTGGCCAATGGTTCCGAGAGATTGTGGGGCTTCCCCCACCCTCCCACCGAGAGAGAGGTCTTTGCTTACTTCTCTGGTCTGGATGCCACAGCCCCTCGACCTTCACCATGGCCTGAGATATCTCTGGGTTTTTCCAGCCCCGGATGTCAAACACACTGGTCTTAGACTTTGGCTAGATTTGGGTGGCTATGGCTAGGGGTTGCCCCCCACTTCTGTGACCCGTCCGCTGGTTTCTGATGAGCAGTCTGACTTCCTCCCAGCTCACCTTCCTCATCACGGCAGCCCCAGCCCTCTGCCCAGCCTCTTGAGACTCTCCCGGCCTCTTCTCCCTCTCTAGGCTGGCGCCATGCCCCCTCCTGCAGAGGTGACAGACCCGTCCCATGCCCCCGCCGTCCTGCGCCAGCTCAATGAGCAGCGGCTCCGTGGCCTCTTCTGTGACGTCACCCTCATAGCTGGAGACACCAAGTTCCCTGCTCATCGCAGTGTCCTGGCTGCTTCTAGTCCCTTCTTCAGAGAGGCCCTGCTGGCTCCGGGCCCGCAACCCCTCCCGCCAGTTACTGGGGGCTCAGCTCCCAACCCTGCTACCACCACAGCTGCCTCCTCCTCCTCCTCCTCTTCTTCCACCTCCTCTCCCCCTCCAGCCTCTCCTCCTGCTTCATCTCCACCCCGGGTCCTGGAGCTGCCAGGAGTCCCCGCAGCTGCCTTCTCTGATGTCCTCAACTTCATCTATAGCGCCCGGCTTGCACTACCTGGTGGAGGGGACGGGGCAGCTGTGGCAGAGATCGGAGCTCTGGGGCGGCGACTGGGCATCTCCCGCCTGCAGGGCCTGGGGGAGGGAGGTGATGCGTGGGTACCTACCACCCCAGCCCCCATGGCCACCATGCAGCCTGAAGAGGACAGCTTCGGGCCTGGGCCTAGGCCAGCCGGGGTGTGGGAAGTCGACAGGGCAGAGGCTCAGGCCCCCGATTCCCAGCCCAATCTGTCCCGGCGGCCGCTCCCCTGCCCCCGATGTGGAAAAAGCTTCATCCACCCCAAGCGGCTGCAGACCCATGAAGCCCAGTGCCGACGGGGGGCTGGCACCCGAGGGTCTACAGGGCTGGGAGCTGGGGGCTCTGGCCCGGGTGGCCCTGCAGGAGTGGATGCCTCAGCCCTGCCCCCACCAGTGGGCTTCCACGGTGGCCCCGAGCACGTGGTGAAGGTGGTGGGCGGCCACGTGCTGTACGTGTGCGCGGCCTGCGAGCGCTCCTACGTGACCCTGTCCAGCCTGAAGCGGCACAGCAATGTGCACTCGTGGCGGAGGAAGTACCCCTGCCGCTACTGCGAGAAGGTGTTTGCCCTGGCCGAGTACCGCACCAAGCACGAGGTGTGGCACACGGGCGAGCGCAGGTGAGTGGCCTGGGGCTGGGGCTGGAGGGCGGCAGGGCCAAGGGTCAGCGCTCAGAACTGCGGGGCCTGCAGGGGGACTGGGCAGAGCGTAGAGAGTCATCCCGAGACTGTCCCTGCTGGCCGTCACTGCCACCCGCCTCCCTCCAGCCGATGCTCATTAGCTGGTCTCTGCCACGTCCTGGCGGGGCTGTGGGGAAGCCCAAAAGGAGAGTCGCTGTCACAGGAAAGGGCTCTGGGAGCACAGGCGTGCCCGCCAGTAGCTACAGTTTTCAGAGCTGCGACTTGTATTTCCAGAGCTCGGCCCTGTTTGTAAATCGTAGCCCTCTTCCTTCGTGCTTCAGAAGAAGGCTTTGTGAGTCAGGCAGGATGTCTGATTACTCCGGTTCCCGGATGGGCCGGCAGAGGCCTAACCCCTCACAGCTGGGGGCCGCCGAGCTGGGACAGGCACCCGTCCTGTGACTGGCAGTGTGAGACAAGCGACATGTAAGGAGGGCGAGCACATGGCTGGAGGAGTTAGAGGTTTGGGGGTGGTGGCAGCGGGGGAGAGGGGGAACTGAGGCCCTGGCTTCAGGGCCCCTGACTCAAGCGGCTCTGTTCCTGCCCTATTCCCTGCTGTCCTGGCCCAGGTACCAGTGCATCTTCTGCTGGGAGACCTTTGTCACTTATTATAACCTGAAGACCCACCAGCGAGCCTTCCATGGCATTAGCCCGGGCCTCCTAGCCAGTGAGAAGACGCCCAATGGAGGCTACAAGCCCAAGCTCAATACCCTCAAGCTGTACCGCCTGCTCCCCATGCGGGCAGCCAAGCGGCCCTACAAGACCTATAGCCAGGGAGCCCCGGAGCCCCCCCTTTCTCCAAGCCTCAATATGCCAGCCCCCGGGGCAACGCCAGCCAGCCCCCCAGCCGGCCCCCCGCCTGCCCCACAACCTGGTCCCCCACCCTCTGTCATCACTTTTGCTCACCCAGCTCCCTCTGTCATCGTCCACGGGGGCAGTAGCACAGGTGGAGTGGGGGGCGGGCCAGCCAGCACAGGAGGGTCACAGGCTGCCTCGGTCATCACTTACACTGCTCCCCCAAGGCCCCCCAAGAAACGAGAGTACCCACCTCCTCCCCCTGAGCCTGCACCCACACCCGCCAACCCAGTAACCGTAGTCAGCCCAGCCACGGCCGCAGGGCCAGCGACGGCCATGGAAGAGGCCAAGGGCCGCAATCCTCGGGCTGGGAGGACTCTGACCTACACAGCCAAGCCAGTGGGCAGCATTGGCGGGGGTGGGGGCCCCCCCGCAGGGCCTGGCCGGGGCCCCTCTCAGCTACAGGCTCCACCTCCACTGTGTCAGATCACTGTGCGAATCGGGGAGGAGGCCATTGTCAAGCGCCGCATCTCCGAAACTGACCTGCGTCCAGGAGAGCTGAGCGGAGAGGAGGTAGAGGAGAGTGAGGAGGAGGAGGAAGACGAGGAGGACGACGACGAGGAGGAGGACGAGGAGGAATCCAAGGCCGGCGGGGAGGACCAGCTCTGGAGGCCCTACTATTCCTACAAGCCTAAACGCAAGGTTGGAGCTGCCGAAACGCAAGGTTGGAGCTGCCGGCAGTGCCGGCAGTGGCGGCAGTGGCGGGGGCAGTGGGGTGCCCCGAGGCCGCCGGCCCCCACGCTGGAGGCAGAAGCTGGAGCGCAGGGGCTGGGAGGAGACCCCAGCAACCGACGGCCCAGGTGGGCGCGCCCGTGGAGAACGGAGGCATCGCTGCGGGGACTGTGCCCAGAGCTTCGCCACCCTGAGGAAGCTGCGAAAGCACCAGGAGGCCCACGGTGGGGGCTCCCACGGCTCCCGGGCTGGGCGGAGGCCTTCTACCCGCTTCACCTGCCCGCACTGCGCCAAGGTGTGCAAGACGGCAGCTGCCCTGACCCGCCATGGACAGAGGCACACTGCTGAGCGGCCCGGGGGCGCTCCCACTCCTGTCATCGCCTACTCTAAGGGCAGCACTGGCACCAGGCCCGGGGACATCAAGGAGGAGGCCCCCCAAGAGATGCAAGTGTCTTCATCCAGCGGGGAGGCGGGTGGCGGGAGCGCTGCTGCTGAGGAAGCTTCTGAGACCGCCTCGCTCCAGGACCCTGTCATTTCCGGGGGTGAGGAGCCCCCGGTGGTGGCGGGGCTGGGCAGCTATGCCTACCCACCTGTGCAGGAGTTCCCATTGGCCCTGATTGGGAGTGGGCGGGAACCCGGCAGTGGCAGGGGGAAACCTGGGAACGAGGGCCTAGTGGGAGCTGGGGAGGGGGACCGGATGGAGGGGATGGGGGCTGCCAAAGTCACCTTCTACCCCGAGCCCTACCCGCTGGTCTACGGCCCCCAGCTCCTTGCCTACCCTTACAACTTCAGCAACTTGGCTGCCCTCCCAGTTGCTCTCAACATGGTCCTACCTGATGAGAAGGGTGGGGGGGCCCTTCCCTTCCTACCAGGGGTCTTTGGCTACGCAGTGAATCCTCAAACAGCGCCCCCAACCCCCCCAACACCACCTCCCCCAACTCTTCCTCCCCCTGCTCCCCCTACGG